TCTACTGGACACCGCTGACCTGACTGTCCACCCCTCTGCCTATCCCTAATGGACACCGCTGACCTGACTGTCCACCTCTCTGCCTCTCCCTACTGGACACCGCTGACCTGACTGTCCACCCCTCTGCCTCTCGCCCCCTGACTCCCTGCTGTGTCCTGCCCAGTGCTGGCGTGTGGCCGCCCCCAGGCCACGGCGGTCTACAAGGTGTCGGAGTACGCCCGGCGGTTCGGGGTGCCGGTCATCGCAGACGGCGGGATCCAGACGGTCGGCCACATCGCCAAGGCGCTGGCCCTCGGAGCCTCCACAGGTGCGTCCGCGGATGTCTGTGCTCTGCTAAGCACCAGCGTCCTGAATTTACTCTTCCAGCACTTGAGTAATTATCCTGACCCTCGTACAGCGCTTGTCTGGACTCTCCACGCAGAGCGCTTTACAGGTCATGGGGATCCCCTCCACCCCCACCAGTGTGCAGCCCCACCTGGATGATGCTTCAGTCTGCTCCCATCACACCAACTCTCAGTGGGGAGGAGAGCAGAGTGATGAAGCCACTTCAGAGAGGGGGGTTATTAGGAGGCCATGACGGGTAAAGGCCAGGGGGAGATTTGTCCAGGACACTGGGGTTACACCCCTACTCTTTTCTGGAAATGCCCTGGGATTTTTAGTGACCACAGAGAGTCAGGACCTCTCATCCGAAGGACGGCGCCTGTTTACAGTACAGTGTCCCCGTCACTATACTGGGGTATTAGGACCCACACAGACCGCAGGGTGAGCTCTGGGAACAGGGATTAGCGTGTGGTCCGCTGTGGGTCACTCCCTCCCCTGAGCCTCTGTCAAAGCCTCCTCTAACCCGAGTCTCTCTCCCCGGCCCCCCCAGTGATGATGGGCTCCCTGCTGGCCGCCACCTCCGAGGCTCCGGGGGAGTACTTCTTCTCCGACGGGATCCGGCTGAAGAAGTACCGCGGCATGGGCTCGCTGGACGCCATGGACAAGAACCTGGGCTCGCAGACCCGCTACTTCAGGTGCCGACCCGGCCCGGGCCCGGCTCTGGGCCGGCCAGTTGTCCGACCGTCCGATCTCCTGTCCGTCTCTCTGGCACAGGAGCGGACTCCAGCCGCTGGGAATTGTGGGCCTTCCTGTGATTTCCTTGGAAGTGCGTTAGTACGGCTGCACCCTGGGCCGAGCCACGCTGTCTCCCTCCCTCCTTCATCTGGACCGTCGGCTCCTTCACGTTCTCCCCCTGCCTCTCTCTCCTTCTTGCCTGAACGCCCTCTCCCTCTCCCCTCAGCGAGTCCGATAAGATCAAGGTGGCCCAGGGCGTGTCGGGGGCGATCCAGGACAAGGGCTCCATCCACAAGTTCGTCCCCTACCTGCTGGTCGGTATCCAGCACTCCTGCCAGGATATCGGAGCCAAGAGCCTCACCCAGCTCAGGTCAGAGGACGGACAGACCAAGGACAGTGTGAGACCACAGGGCTCTCAGAGACACAAGAGACACGCATGTAAAACAAACATTTTAAAGCATAGAAAGGGACTGTCTGAGTATCTTTTTAATAACTGGTCCCACATGCCACAGTAATAAATGCCCCTCCCTGTGACTCTCTTTTCCTTTCTCTGTCGCAGGGCCATGATGTACTCGGGGGATCTGAAGTTTGAAAAGAGGACGTCATCTGCCCAGGTGGAAGGAGGCGTACACAGCCTGCACAGGTGAGCTTCCCTCTCTGGTCCTGTTCATCCAGGCCCATCTTTCTCTCTCCCATCACTTTCAAAGAGCTTTGGGCTGTCCCGATTGGCCAGCGGGAAGCAGGGCTGCAGCCGTTCTGATTGGCCGGGGAGCTGCAGGGCTGCAGCCGTTCTGATTGGCCGGGGAGCTGCAGGGCTGCAGCGTGGACTAAAAGTCTGGTTCAGTTCTGTACTCTACAGCATAAATAAGATTTATTGAGTCAAATTGTTATTTCTCGAATGGGGATTTTTTATTTTATTTTGTGCATCCGAGGATCCTGTTGGTTCTGGGGCCTGCAGTCTGGGGGTTACTGTGTCTTTACAGGTGAACTAGAGTACGATGTTTATTGACAATCTCTCTCTCACTCTTTCAGCTATGAGAAGCGTCTGTTCTGAGCACCACAGTGGGAGTGCAGGAGGAGAGAAGGGGGTGTGTCTGGGAGGAGAGATTTGCACAGTTCTCCTGCTTCCACTGATCCCTCGTTTCCTCTCCCTGTCTTCCCAGCATATTCCCAGTCTTCCCAGTATATTCCAGCCCAGCCTTCAGCCCGCTCCTGGCCCTCGCGTGCACGGAGCAGGGGAGCGCGTTACTGGGAAAGGAGACGAGTGGCGGGGAGTGGGACTGTTAGAGGGGGTTGTTTTCTGCTGGGTGTGTGTGTTTGCACACGCGTGTGGGTGACGTGTGCCGTGCATGCAGCCGTGTGTTCGCGTGACACTTGCGGTAGCGGTGGCCGCAGTTCTGTTACTGTACCAGACCCCTGCCACTGTTCTCAGCCCACCGCCGTATTTGAAAAGGGCGGACTTGAATAAATCTGCCAACCTGCTATTTTTCCACGAGCTCCTGTTGTTGGTCTGCAGTTAATTTGGTCATTTTTCGAGTGAGGGTGCAGAGGCTGTCTCCCACCTCTTCTGCACCCTGTGTCATCCAGGCCTTTCCCCTGGCTGCTGGGTCTGTGCATTTGCCTCAACACCCACAGCGATGAGTCTGCAGCTTCACGGCCGATTTCATTTGTCTGCTTGCTTGTTAGGACTCACTTATCCAGTTTCTGTGGTCAGTAGTGAGAGGGCCTCTGCTGTCAGGTACCTTTCACAGTTTCCAGCAGCTTCAGCACACATCTTTACTCAACCTTTTCTCAGCTAGCAGGAGTGACACTGTAACGGGCGTGCCCACACTGGGGGGTGACACGATCAGGCAGGCCCTAGTGCATGACTGCTACTGCAGCAGAAACACCCACTTTGTCCAGCTCTCCCCACACTGCTGCAGGACACAGGAGCTGAAGGCCATCCTGTGTATTCAACACACCGGTCCTGTGAGAAAGGGATACTTTATTGATGCTTATTAAATACACCTGTTTAACACACAGCAAACAGCTACCAAGTGACACGAGACACTGACACACAGAGACCCTGCAGGCTGGCCTTGTGGGCGGAGTTGAGCAGGATCACAGCGACACCATGCCTGTGGGAGTGAGGGACCTGGATGTTGACACACGTGGGAGTGAGGGACCTGGATGTCGACACACGTGGAAGGAAGGACACAGACAGGCCTCTCTCCTGGAGCTGAAGCACGGCTGTTCTCCCACGCAAACCAGGGGCCAGCTCGTCTGCTTGCAAGTGGCTGAAGTGCTTTACCGGTCCCGGTTAAACCCTGAGTGGAGTTTAATACTTCGACAGTTCCTTGCGGTTGTGCTGAGCCCAAGCTGCAGGACAGCCTCAGGGGCATGAGGGGCCGGTCAGGGGCCCCTCCCGCCCGGATACCTTCCTCGTGTCCCCCTGGGCGGCACTGGCCCCACCACTTCCTGTGTGCGTGTGTGGACCCCCCCCCCGCCCTCGGGCCTCAGTCCGCGTCGGTCCTGACGACGGGAGGCGGGATCAAGCCGGCCGCCACGATCCGCCGCTCACTGCACAGGAAGTTGAAGGTGGCGCAGGCGTTGGGCTGGAGAGAGGGTGTAGGGGGTAGAAAGCATGAGGTGGGGTAAAATAAAGAGGTATTTTCATCAACTAGAGCTTCATCACAAGCCCTGATGAAGGCCTGCACTTAATTACAGCAAATAGAGTCTCCTCTTTGTCCCCATCATTATTTCACTAACCCCAAATGCACCTGTCTAGAAGCAGAACAGCTATCTGATGTGGGTGAGGGTCAGCGGACGGCACCGAGAGCAGACCCTGCGCAGGCTGGCGTTGTGCATCCTGATTCTGCCCGTGCGAAAGGACACGCCAGCCCTCAGCCGATGCGATCAAGCCTGATACACATTTCTCGTCGCACGAGTCCTCATCCAAAATAAGTCTCACGACTTGCTTCTTCAAAAAGAAGTCTTGAGCCTCTCCCAGTCTGGCCTGTTTTCTATCACCCATTTCGCACGGCGCTGCTGGGAAGACATGCCCATCGAAGCCCTGCTGTAACTGCCTGTAGAAACTACAGTTCCCACGGGGCCGCTGTCTCGGGATCTGGGATTAGCACAGTTTAGTCCGGATGAACGGAACAGGTCAAGTGCGATTTGTAAGATGGCAGCTTCTTCCTCTGAACAACTGCAACGCCCCACACTCCCCGTCCGCCATGTGTCCCCATGTCCAGCAGCTGCCCCCCCCGCCTCACCGTGTCCTGGACCTCCACCGCGATCCCCTTCCTCCTCATGAACGCCAGAACCTGCGGGTCGAGGCGCTCCACGCTGGCCCCCGTCCCCAGGACCAGGATCTCTGGGACCAGAGAGAGAGAGACGGTGCTGCAGCAGTGTGACGGACACAGGGTCTTACACAGAGGTGCTGTTCTCCTGCACTGCCACACAGGGGCGGTACAGACACCGTACAGGTACGACACGGTGCACTCTCTCTCTCTCTCACCTATCCTGGGCTCCAGCAGGTGGAACAGGGCCAGGCTCTCTTCACAGATGTCTTTGTAACTGCCCACCTGCAGGGGGAGACAGAGAGAGAGAGAGGTAGTAACAGGGGAGAAACAGAAACAAGAAGGCAGAGAGACAGTCACGCACTGAGCAGTTCAGTACACACTGACATTCCACTGCAGGATGGCAGGGGGCAGCAGAGCACAGGGTCCGAGCACTCGGTTCCCGTCCACCAGGAACCCCCGGGGGCTGTAGCTCTGGATCAGAGCCGCACCCCCTTCCTTTTGCAGAACCGACACCGAGGTCCGCTGGTACAGCTCATCATCGCTGGGGGTCAACCTGTGAGAGCGGCTGAGGGGGGGGCTGAGAGACACGTGGAGAAAACAGAGGGAGAGGAGAGAGAGAGACAGGGAGATGGGAGAGGAGGGGAGAGAAGAGAGTGGAAGGAAGGCGTGATGGAAAGGAGAGATGAGAGGGGAGAGAGAAACAACACAAGAACAAAGAAGCCGTCAGTTATAATACTGAGTTATAATACTGAGAAAGTCTGAAACCCAGTAGAATGTGCCAAAATTCAGGAGTCAAAAAATACTAAAAAGAAAATCTATACTGTAATTGCACACAGGCCTCCAGCTTAACAAAATCCGCGTTCGGGCAGCTCGTTTCAGATTTTGATCCCCAAAAGCGATGAAGAGAATCTCCTACGGCATGAGATCCTTTTACAGTACCGGGAACATTTCAGTCGAACTCACTCAGAACTTAAACAACCAAATCAATAACCAAGGTCGGTCCCGCACAGGAGCGCAGAAACCCGTCTGGAAGTCCACCTGATCTCTCCAGGCGCAGAACGAATGCGAGCGCTAACGAAGGTCAAACAGTGTTAAAAAAAGCGCGTTTTTAGTGTTACTACAAAAGCGCAGACGCACACCGCGATAGGAGCGTCTTACCTTGTGGTAGCGGGCAGCGCCCCCCGTCCAAGCCGAAGACCGGGCGCCGAACCGCGGGACAGCAGCCGAACGCACCCCGCCAGCGCCATGCCTCCTCCAGCACGGAACCGCACGACAGCCGAGGAGGCCGGAGGGAAGAGATTTACTGCTGCACACACTGCGGGGGCCGGCGGAAGAGACGGAGGGCCGATGGGAAGGTGGAGGAGCGTCGACGTTGACGTAAAGCGGTTGGTGCTGCCCCCTACTGGCACGGAAATGAACTCGCCTTGGCTAAAATAATACGGGCTCTGCTTTGAGCGTCGAAGACAGATCGTCTCGTCCAAAATCATTTCGCTGTGTGCTTTGTGCTAATAATAATAATAATAATAATAATAATAATAATAATTGCTTACACTTATATAGCGCTTTTCTGGACACTCCACTCAACGCGCTTTCCAGGTAATGGGGATCCCCTCCACCCCCACCTGGAGTTCCTCCTAAAGGAACGTTTCCTAAAACTAATAGCAAAATTGCCAACACGAATGTTCTTAATGTTCAGCTTCTGTCCCACTGCAGAGCCTCTGACTCCACACACATCTGCACTCTGCACAGTCTACCATGTTTTTTCCCCTCACTACTACATATTGATTGTTCCTGTTGTTACTATTGATTATGTCTGTACTGTACTGTCTACACTGTGTGGTGTTGTCTGTTGTAGTGTCTGTCCCGAGAGATCAACGCGATTAAGAATTCCAATGTACGTGTACACATGCCAATAATCAACTCCACCACTCTTACCAATAATAATAATAATTGCTTACACGTATATATGTATATAGCGCTTTTCTGGCACTCCACTCAAGGCGCATATATAGAGGTGTAGAGGTCAAAGTTCACGAGTGTGCGCAGTGTAGAAGTGTAAGTTCACGAGTGTGTGCAGTGTAAAGGGTGTAAGTTCACAAGTGTACCCAGTGTAGAAGTGTAAGTTCACGAGTGTGCGCAGTATAGGGGTGTAAGTTCATCAGTGTGCGCGGTGAAGATGTATATGTTCACGAGTGTGTGCAGTATAGGGGTGTAAGTTCATCAGTGTGCACGGTGAAGGTGTGTAAGTTCACGAGTGTGCGCAGTATAGGGGTTTGTAAGTTCACAAGTGTGCCCAGTGAAGAGGTGTAAGTTCACAAGTATGTGCAGTG